GTCTTACTGCAAGGTGAATCCTTACCCAACGAGTCGTGCTAGTAGAGAATGACATGATGGATCAGAATCTGTCTGTACTTTCAGCAATCAGAGGGCTATAAACTTTATGTAAATCGCTGACACTTTCGGCTGAGTAGGAACTTGTATTGATAACCTACGATATTTTATTGTAGTTATCTTACATTGACTATGATGCTGCTCTTCTATCTGTCCTCAAATAAACTGTCGTTGATTGTTATCAACGAATTTAAACTTGGATTCATCTACAAAGAGGTCACGTCTACAGTTTTGCTCATTGTGGTACAATGCTCAGTTCAACCTTTTGGTTTTGTTACTGCTTCTCAGCAGCGATTTTCAAAGTAACTACAAATACATTGAAATCATTTTGTGCTGATGTATATGTTACCGTTTTCGAGGTAACATCCACGATTCTATTTAAGTAAAGTTGTTTACAAGATGTGTACTTGATCATCATCTATCTGGTAAAAAACATATTCTGAGATACTCAACATCACTTGTTATGATGTGAGCGACTTTTACAATGTGGCAAAGCATGACCATAATTAATTAAGCTTATCATAAGACATCAGTATTATGCATATTATGTTTTCAAACACTACATTCTTTATCTAGTCCCTTAGGAATTTTCAAGAATTAGAAGAGTGTAGATTAATAGTTTTCTATCCACACTGTATTCGCAAAACTATGTATATTTAAAGGCTTTATACTGATAAGGGATTTCCTAATTGTTTAGATCACAACAAATCAAAGTGTAAACTATCAACAAATGATTGCACTCTGGTGCAACTCATTTTCAAACAATAGAAGGGTATCATTCTCGAAGTATTTGTTTTTTTTTACACTTTTTCTCCATTGTTTTTCATAATTACTTCCAATACTGTATGCTTCTTGAAAATGAGAATCTACATTGTTTCTCTTTCCATATATATATAACATTTTAGCCCATCTTTCAACAATAAACTGCCATCAAAGTGATTCATAAATATCTTGCACTTTGGTATGATATTCAAAGGATGTCCTTGAGCTCCAAACAACATCAAATGACTGAAATAGAGATATATGTAATATATATAACTTAATAGTCTTAACATTGGTGAGATACCTCTGTTACTTTTCCGCATTTACTTGCTCAAACCATAAATATATTGTTACTTTATTTGCAAATAACCATTGAGTAACTCAGATGTTTATTGAGTCATTAATATATATCCATATTCAAAAGTAACTTTCCAGTGTTCACAATCAACACATCACAGTTTACAAACAGCACATAAATAGTTACATGTAAAGGTAATACTTTATTTAATTAGGAGTAACACATAAGTGAAACAAATGTACATGATATGCATAATATATTTGATCAGAAAGTGAAATCATAGACGACAGGGGAAGATCATACTTGATGTGTTATAACTTACGTCTAAGTTGACAAAACTATATTAGGATTCGGTAAGGGAATGGGCTTCTGTTGGCTGTTTCTTTTTTATCTTCAGAGAGTAACTGATGTAAGTTTTACTGGTTTGTCAATTTTGAGGCTACGTAAAATAGTCCATCTAGATAGCTATCAAACAAACTAATCAATTGCCTGTGTGCTTTTAGTTTTTAGTTGTCAGTTTATGTGATTTCACAGTCAAATTTTGATTTATAAGTACATGGATGGTTGTAGGTTGCGAGATAGGATGTCTGGTTGTCCGAACGTATGGTTCCGTACAGATGGTCCTATTTTTTGTTTACTAAGAAAGCTTGAAGAGCTGTTGCGCTACATGTTAACTGCTACTGTTAATAAAGTATTTTAAACAGATCTAGGCTTCTCTCTTGCCCATGATTACATAGTTTTTTTCGAAATAGCAGTGGCTCTAGGTAGGATTTCTACTATATGAATTATTCAAGTTCTAGTATCGTGTAATGCAATACCATGTACTAAAACAGTATTGGACAAAGTTAATACAATACGAAATAAAAGTACAATAAAACACATCACAAGGAAAATAGCTAACCAAATTAATAACAATAGTCAAGATTTGAAACGATGTTATCCTGAATTAAAGTAGTACAAATGTATTTAAGGGTGGATGTACTATATCTTGCCTATGTTGAATCTTCCCTTATCCCTGATGAATCAAAGCGTTAGGGTATACCACAGAACAACCCAAACTAAAATATCTGACCTAAGAATATGCCCATAAACATATTTAAAGATACACAATAATCAAGCAGTGTTATTTAATTTAGATATGCATAAAATAATTATCATTTGTAAATTCAATCAAAAGCTTTTGACAGGTTAACTATATCTTTCGTATTATTATGACGATATTAGGACATGCTATAAACATATAATCAGTTTAGTGTATATATAGAAGGCATCTGATTGAATAGAAGTGTTGGTAGATCATTGTTTTTTTTACTGTTTTACTGACACCTCAATTTGGTATTCAATTTACCAGGAGCTAATATGTCTATTTCTGTGTTTGTTATTGAACACTTTACCTTTGAGGTCTCTATTGCGGTTGTTTGGCTGAAACATTGACCATATTTTCACTCTCACACAATTACTAAAACCGTTTTTTGTATATTCAGAACTAAAACAGTTTAGGCACAGTCATTTCATTTTCATTGGTCAATTTCAAAACAACATATATAATTATGTATTTGTTGTCTCCTAATTTTATATTTTAAAACTTTCACTCTCTTTCTGTTTTATACTAAAATAAAAAATGGATATCTCTGTGTATTTCAAGGTTCTACTTGACTACTTGACTTGATAGTGGTTTCCTAATCGTTATGATGCAACTGAATATATCTTTTGGTTTACTATAGTTATAGTTGTCACTATTTCCTAACGTTTAACATTAAGGAGTAAAAGCTATCTAAAACAAAAATGTTATCAATTTAAAGCTATTTGAATTTACTTGAAAGTGCATAGTGTCGATGTGGCCTGAAACATGGCAGACGTATTTAAGTTCAAAATTGAATAGGAGGATGAAATGAAAGAAATTTTAGTTTGGGTTTAAAATGTTTGATGTGTTTGGACTAGGAGTTAGAATTCATCAATCAGCTGCTGAAAGACTGCTGGTAAAGACAACACGGAAGAGACATTTACAACACTTCTTGATTCTCTAATTAAATTGGAGCTTCATGAAAAGGTCAAAATTGCCATCCAATCCATATTCTCTCTGCAGCTGACCGTTCTCAATAATGGAGCACAAGTATATAACGACATCTTTGCTCCATTTAACAACTGTAAAGCAGCTCCACATAGTTAGGATACTGTATGATGCAAAACAACTATTACACAAAACTGTAGATATATATTCTCCTTTACCGAAGCTTACAGTAGTAACACCTAGGGTTGAATGAGCACACGAGCTCAGCCGGATTTACCATATTTCGAAACAGAGCTTTGGAAATTTTTAAGTGTGCTTGTTTGTTTGTTTTAGAGCAAAGCCACATTGAGCTATCTGCTGTGTCCACCACGGGAAATCGAATCCCGGATTTTAGCGTTGTAAGTTTGTAAACTTACCCTTGTCCCACCGGTGGACTTATAAATATCTACTAGCAAGTGTGTGGTTGTGGTATCTGTATATCACATCTACAACTTTCATTGCAAGTATACCCTACTTTTAAAGAAACGAGTTCCTTACAACCCAGTTGTATCTTAACTATTTTCTCTGTTTATCTTAATGTAACATAACATAATGTTTAGGAACAACAAGGGACCTATTGATCCATCTCAGTTGTTCCATCCTCTAAACCAAACTAAATCTTAATCATGTTTTCATATAAAAAATCATTTGTATACTATAAAACCAAAAATTAAAACTAAGGTAAACTCGACAAGTAGAGAGATAGATTTTGTTTGTTTTGAATTTCGCGCAAAGCTAGCCGTCCCTAATTTAGCAGTGGGAAGGCAGCTAGTCATCACCATCCACCGCCAACTCTTGGGCTACTCTTTTACCAACGAATAGTGGGATTGACCGTCAGATTATAACGCCCCCACGGCTGAAAGGGCGAGCATGTTTGGTGTGACGGGGATTCAAACCCTCGACCCTCAGATTGCGAGTTGAGCGCCCTAACCACCTGGCCATATTGGGCCAGAGAGATAGAAAGTTTATTTGTTTTTAGAGCAAAGCCACATTTGGTTATCTGCTATGTCCACTGTGGGGAACTGAACCCCATAAACTTACCGCTTTCCCTCCGGGAGACGAAATAGAGAGAAAAAATAATAATAAAATGAAGGACTACTGTTGCCGAAGCTTTCTTTAGTTCTCCATTTTCCTACATAGTAAAACGATAAGTAAACTTAGTGTGTGCTTATGTATTTTTCTATCTCATTGGCTGTTTATCCGAAATTCGAATAAAATAACACATTTCTCATAGAAAGTTGTAAAACGTTATTTTCATGATAAAAAGGTCCATGTCTGAAATAAGTATTTAAATGTAAATTTAAGAAAAGGGGGAACACCGTGAACATTTTTGATAGAGTTTATAATCAAAAGATTACAGAAATTTTTTATGGTTATTTTTTTCATTGGTTAAGTCAACTAATTTACACATTACATATTAATACTCCAGAATGATATAACATAGTTGTTTAAATAAAATAGTAGCTTAGTCTTTATTAAATAGTATTGAGAAATGAGTATTTCTGACAACTAAGCCTGAATCGTACTTTTTTATTTAATATCTAGTTATTATAGAATATGTAGGCTTATAACTCATGAGTGTGTTGTTGTTTGCTTTGTTTTATTATACTCGTAAATACTCCTGGTTTGACCTGGTGGTTAGGACGTTCTTCTCGCATTCTGCGGTCACGGGTTCTAATCTCTTCACCAAATTCCTTTCAGTCATAATGTGACGTTCAATCCCGCTATTCGTTGATAAAAGAGTAGCCCAAAAGTTGGCGGTGGGTAGTGTTGACCAGCTGCCTTCCCTCTAGTCCTTCACTTCTAAATTAGGGACAGCTAGCGCAGATAGTTCTCGAGTAGTTTTGCGTGAAATTCAACAAAACAATATTTGTTTTTATCGGCAAGGAAGAAGCATATTTGCAATTTTCCAAATTAAACATTATCTGTTTAGTGTGCCATCTTAAGGTGAAAACTTGATTTAAAGATTTGGTGGTCGTATTCTGCCAAATGCGTAGAGAAGTCGTGTATTTCATCACTTTGACCGTGGTTTAAAAGAAAAAGGTAAAACTAATAATATCAAGCACAACAAAATAATTCTGAAGTAAACCAACTGTATTTTATCAAAGCTCTTTAAAGTTGAATGCACCATGTTCAACTTATGTGAGTAGTGTTTTCTTAAGTGTAATGACATCGTAAGGAGTACGACTACGACTGAGTACGAGTAGTGTTGATTTCTTTCTTTCACCATTTCAGTACTCTGATTTGCAAATTGCAGTACGAAGGTTATCAACGAAGCATATGCTATCTTAGACTTACACTTAACGTGAAGGTGAAGCTCATTTATCTACACTAACACTTTTACAGCAAAAAGAAAATAACAATTACAGTGATAATGTCCTACCAGTACCAGCTTAGATAAGGATTCGAAAAATTTAATATTAATAATTAAGTTTAAAAGTATGACTAGGAGCAGCTTGACTGGAGAGTCGAGTAGTTCAGTAACCTTTGGCTTGAGTTTGTGTTGTATAACTATAATTTAGTATAAATTATTATTACTAATTATTTTAAACCAATCAAATAAAAAAGGCTTAAATACGTTAGTTATTGATACTAGTGTTTTATTTTTAGACAGGTTGGTAACTTAAGGGTATGACCTGGTAATAGTATAGTGGTTGGCACATTAGCAGTTTTTATTGTATTTGTAAATGTGTATGAAATTATGTGTACTAGTACTAATAAACTAATATGACAATAAGTAAATAACGTAACTATGTAGTATATAATATAGCTATTAATATTATTTATATTTATAAATGAACTATACATACCATATGTTCAGGAATGAAATTAGATAAAAAGTAAATAATGAAAATCTGAGATTTACTATGCTATGTACATTCAAATTCTGTGGAAAGAAGAATAGCTTATATAATGAGTAAAATGTAAGAGCAATTGAATTGTCTTCCAAGTATAGTATAATTAATTTTACTTGTTATAATTCAGCATATTTTATATTTCTCCTTTTTTTTTATTATGCCTATGGTTACATAGTCTAAATAAAGTGTTACACAAACTTATGATAATCTTATTGTGGTTAAAGTCAAAATTCTTTTAAGAACAACCAAGTACATGAAATTATGTGTAGCAATAAAGTGATACAGTAGTGTGGTAGTTAGTAAATAACATAACTATATAGTTATAGTATACAATGTAGCTATTAATTATAAGTGAACTGTACATGCCACATGTTCACCAATGAGGTTAGAAAATAAATAAATAATGAAAATCTGAATTTTACTCTGCTATATACATTCAAAATTCTGTAGAAAGAACTGTTTGTAAAATGATTAAAAGTAAAACTTAAGAACAATTGAATTATCTTTCATGTATGATGTGATGAGTTTTACTTATTACAGGCCAGCTATAATTATATGCCTAAAATATAAAAGCATTCTTAGTAGAATCATGTGTTCCAAACACCTTGGTATTATCAGCTAATTTGGAAATACTGCTGCCCAAGAAGCTTCTTAGATGTTCATATTATTGTAATGTTATTCTTTTGTTCATGGGTTCTTTTAAATTTTCTGGTGAAAATAATTCAGTGTTGTAACTCATAGGCATGCATTACAAATGATAATAATTAACATAGAACAAATTATCTTGTACTATACAAGTTAATACATTTGATAGCAAACACAGATCAAAATACTTCATGAAAACATGCTGACTGATTCAACTCTCCATCTTAAAAAACTCTCCACACTTCACACCTGACCTTATTTATGATCTAGTTTTATTACACTACAAAAAACTTCATATCCATAGAATTTTCTAGGCATTCTATGCTCTCTAGCTAACAAATTACAACATTAAAAATATAGCTTACAACAATATCTAAAACAGACCTCCAAGAGACTAAGCAGTTCACATTTTATCAATGAAAAAAAAAAAACCATTCATCTTCACTCTTTTGTTGTTTTCTATCCTCTTTTCCTACTAATTTTGTAAGCATACTATACAACTAATTCATATCTGGTGAGGCACATTATCAAAGCATTTTGAAAGTCAAAGAACAAATCATCATCTAGAGAAATCCTGTATGAAAAATAATAATAATCTGACTAAAAATTAAAATCTGGTAAGTTGATAAGGCAAGAAAACGTTATCTTAAAAGATTCGATGATGAGGAACCCACTTTGAGACTAATAATGCTTGTGAACAGCTTGAATGGGTAATGAAGAACTACTTTAGTATAAGTTTAACATAACAGCAAGTGGTACCTGATGATGACAAAACCTTGTCGAAACATTGTACATTTGCTGTTATGTTAAACTTGTATTAAATACTTTCTTTATTATCCATTCAAGCCATCTCCAAGCATTATTTATCTTAAAAGATGCTTCTATGATCATTGTTGAATGCTAACTTTCTAAATTCTTTTTGAAATGACTTCTTATATTAGATTCCAAAATTTTCAAGTAACAAAAGCAAACTAATAGACTTATAGTTTCTCAGATGTTCTTTTCTTTCAAGAGATGTGGATCATGTTAGTAGTTTCCAATTATTGCGAATTTCCACAGTGTGAAGAGACTTTTGAAAAACAATTGATAAGCATTCAATGACCCTTAGCTAAGCTTCTTTAGAGTTTTGGCTATATATATATATATATATCTTAAGAGTCAGTTGCATTTGTTTTCCTAGAAGTTTTTTAAGCTTTCCTAAATATTACTATCCCCGTCCCACTGAACATGCTCACCCTTTTAGCCATGAGTGTGTTATAAAGTGATGGTCAATCACACTATTCATTGGTAAAAGAATAGCCCAAGAGTTGGCAGTGGGTGGTGATGACTAGCTGCCTTCCCTCTAGTCTTACACTGCTATATTAGGGATGGCTAGCTCAGATAGCCCTCATGTAGCTTTGCGTGAAATTCAAAAACAAACTAAATATTGCTCCTTTTTTTAAAGTAAGTAAGATATATTGAAAAAATCCTTCTCAGCTACTAAAGAAATTTCTGTAGTTTCATGCCTTTTTATTTATTTTAACATAACATAATAAAATGTTTTGGGACAACATTGGTCTATCTCGGCTGTTTCATCCTCTAAACTAGATTAAAATAATTAAAAAATCTTAACGCCAGCCCTATACATTTTGTAAACTAGGCGTTTTTCTTTTACTATTGAATTAGAAAAATAACACTGGCCAACAAGTCATTTTCATCAGATATAGTTATAGGTGGGCTAGATAGCTCTTAGGACGCTGATTCCAAATCTGTTTTTGTTTTCCTCTAGCTGCTAGTGCATCAAGTTTTCATGATGAGACCAATCAAACTTAAAAGGTTATTGTCTTAATTATATTTTAAGTTGTTGTACATTTCTTTTTTCATAAGTGTGTACTGTATAAATTAACCAAGTGTATGGTGTGTATAATGTTTGTGGGAATTATACTGAAAAATGAATAAAGTTGTAACATTAACTAGCCTAATGTGTGATTATTACCTAAATTGTGCTGAAATTAACACCAATCATATTTTCATAACTAGATGTGGTAGAAGAAAGCATGTATTGAACTGGGAGGTAATAAATTTTAAATTATTCAACCAGCATGATGTGGGTCTTCTTTATCATAATGCATTTAAAGTTGTCATTTCTTTTTATAAGGTTTGAAAGTTGATCATTATGTATGCAATAAAGATATAATTAGGAGCATTTTTTCAATAAGGCAATTTTAAAAATATCTTTGGCAACCTGTTTTAAGATTCTTTACGAATGAAAACTTTCAAATGCTGTCATTTTATTTGACCATTGGTTGGAATAGTTCATTTGTTTTAGGTCAAAATGTGTAGAGTGTTAGCAAAAGTCTTTACACTTATAGATGAAGTGAATGATGAATTTAGGAATTGAACCTCAACAATCGTCTCTCACAATGGTCACATAATGTTATGTATCGATTATGTACTAGCCACAAGGTCAGTCTTCATATTTATTTTTCACTTGATCAAATAAAAAAACAGAAAAGAGATTGCAACTTTTCTTTTTTGCATGCCATATTTATTAATAATTTCAAATTTAATGAAGCTTCAAAGTACATTCTCTGTAGCCTTTACCATTTTTAAGGTTAAACTATCAACAATACTACACAATGACATCATCAACTTTACTGTACATAATTGGCAATCAGTGATTTCTGATTGTGATATGATTGGTAAAACTGTAGTAATATTTTCTGTTGTTTCTGTTACTATCGAGTTTTTTCCGCCCCATTCCTTTTGCCACCTTTTTCCTTCTTTCCTTCCCAATTAGGACCTGAATGTTGTTTTCCATGCCCTTAGCCTTCCTCCATTTGAACTTTTGGCTTCCTGTTCCTTATACCATCTCTCCCTTAAAACCTATTTCCTCCTCCTTTTCACCTCTATTTGTTGAAGTTCTGACATGTATGTCATTGATTCTTCATGCATTTTTTTCCATTGCTCCAATATTTTTCACTGATCTTTATCTTCTCTCTGATCCTTATCATCTTCTCTGCCCTGTCCGTGCAGTCCATTGTTATTTGGCCCACATTGCTCCTTTTTGTGGTTCCCATTCTTATCTCTTCATTCCTTGGAATCTCTCCTCTTCCTACAGTCTTTCTCCCATTAACCTTACTAGGTGGCTTCATCAACTCATATAGTTAGTGTATTCTTCTTTAGATGGGGATGATCATTGGCACTTCCAGGTATCCTTACATCAAATGCATCATCTTACGTTCTCTTTGGCTGCTCATGTCCATCGTTCATTGGAGGAGATTATTCAGGCTGGTATGTGGACAATCCCTCACACTTTTGTAACATATTATCTTTGTCATCTGGTCAGTTTTTCTTCTTCATTGGGCTATATGCTGCCTCTGATCACCATTCTATATACATCTTATTGGCTCTTACTTTGTAAGTTCTCTCTCTTTTGTAAATTACTTTTATAGGGCCCTGTCATGCCTTACTGAATTCCACTCAATAGCAAGTGGTGCCTTCCAGGGTATACTCATCCAAAATCCACACAATGGAGGGTTATCAAGGCCTGATAAAGTGCTCACTTGTGAGATTGAATGTTCCACAAGTCTGATAGAGATATCATCATGATGGTCATTATCTTAAATAAGACCTTATCCAGACTATCATGAGTAAAGAAGACAGGGAATCCCTGTTCATCCTCCATGCCCAGTTTAAAACCTAGTGCTGGCCTGCTTTTAAAAATAAAGATTTTGTTGTCACCTGTTGCACTGTCTTATAGTGATCTGCTCCTCCAGACTTCCCAGTGCATTTTCATCCCCCCTTTTCTTCTAGTGCAGCATGGGAG